TCAGTCTTATCTAAGTTATTATCATATAAAATTGGTCTACTTCATTGAAATGAAGTTTGGACTTCGAAAATGAACACCACTTCAGACCTCAAATTCTGTCCTCTATTATAAGCTTGAAGAATTATTCCCTGCATAGAGGATTTTTTATGGGCACGACTGCTTTTTTTTTTTTGACAAGAACTCTCTCTGGCACCCTAGCATTGTTCGTCAATTTATATATGTTCAATTAGGCTGGTTGCCTCACCTGCCTGCCCGAACAACACTATAGGGTCAAAATTTTCCACTGCAGCTTCTGTTGAAGATTGGATAATATTTTTTTAGAGAATGTGTGGTTGAAAAGTAAAGTAACTTTATTGGTTTGTGTGTAGAATATTTTATTGGGTGAATGTGTGATTGAAAATCTTACTGTAACAAATAATTTTTTGGAATAATGATAGACAAACGGGAGCTTACTTGTTCAAGAATAGCATGTCAAAAATTAGGAGGAGCACATCCCTTCGTGTTTATCTCCCTACAAAACCACAATCTATACTCAAGTTAATTACAAAATCAGAAATTTTAATATCATAATTAATTTAGAGGCCTAGACTTTGTTTAAGGGACTTTAAAAGCAGAATTTTTGTTTGGCGCGAGACACAGTTGTTTCACATTGTGTGGAGATTCAAAAAATGTTGAATGAAAAAGTGTGTTTTTTTAAAATTGTCTAATCATGTGTCGATACGTGGTACAATATAAAAAATAATGTAAAATAAAATGTACTTGTAGTCAGTGTTCTAAAATGCGTAATACGTTGCGATGCGCCGATGTCGAGAATCAAGAATCACAAGTTTAGGCGTGTCAATGCGAAGAATAAGCGTCATAATGCGTTTCATATTTTAAGGCATTAAATATATTTTTATATAAATTTTTTTTTAATATATCATAAAAAAATAGATTTAAAAAAGGGGGGAGGAATTAGATTATGCGCGCATTGTGCACGCCTAGGTGCGCATTAGGCTCGCCTTTTAGATGGAAACGCATTTTTTCTGCATTTCTCAAATTCGACGCGTTTACAGTCCGCGTCGCGCCTAGAGGAAGTATTTGCGCGCTTTTTAGAACAAGGCTTGTAGCACGATTGTAATAAACAAACTTTGTAAAGTATTAATTTTAATTATAATTGTTTACTTTTATCAAGAAATTCCGAGTAACGTGAAACTGTTTCTCTAGGTGTTATTCTCAGACAGACATAGGATAAAGGTAATCTGGCTAGGCCTAGGGTCATGTAAATTTCTAGCCTTCCCATGTTATGACATGATTGATAATCGCGATGTTTCCATCCCTACTTTATGATCAAATGACCTAATTTCTCGTGTTTAATCATCACTTTTTTATTAGTAATTCGTATTATTATTTTACTTTAAATTTTTAAAAATGTACAAATATGTATGTTCCGTATTCGACTCAAAGGCTGATGTGATGGGGACGGGCCTGAGCTATCGTCCAGCCCTGCCCCCAGCCCAAATGAAAAGCCTAATGTAAAGAAATAAAAAGAGGGAAAAAAAAATTCATAAATCGGACTTTAAGTTTCACAAATGCAAAAATCAGGTTTTAAGTTTAAAAATGCAAAAATCGGATATTTATTTATAAATTAAAAATATTTTTATTAATTAAATGTAATAATATATAATTAATGGTCACATATACATAATTATAGGTCACAACTTTATTAGTCACATATTATCAAATTAATTGGTCACAGATTATTTCGATATCACCAATCAAAAATTTTATAGGTCACAATTTATTTCATTGATCATAAATCAAAAAATTTATAGGTCACAGTTTTTCAAAATTTTGGTCACATTATCAAATTTTGAGGCCACGATTTAACGGTTAGTCAAAGAGAACCAAATAGTTGGTCACATACACCAAAAAATCAACCCCCAATCCACCACCAATTATTGATCACAAATCAACTAAATAGTTGTCACAAACAATCTTCATCTCGTCGATTTTGCCACAACCACAACCACCACCATCACAAACAATAACAACACAACACCATGACCACAACATCACCCCTCACCATGGAGAGAGACAAGGGAGAGAGGGGAGGAGACAAGAGGGAGGAATGAAGGAATTGATAAAATTAGGGTTAAATTATAATACAAATTATTATAAATTATACTAATTAAAATATAAAATTATTAC